TGCCATTCATCTCATAACAGCCTCTGGATTGGCATGCCAGAAGCGAAAGGGGAAGGTTGTAGAGATTGAGGATATTCGCCGTGTTTACAGTTTGTTCTTGGATGTGAAGAGATCATCGCAGTACTTGATTGATTTTCAGAGTCAGTATATGTTCAGTGAGGTTGATGATAAAGAAGATGACACCAATGCCAATGCAATGCAATCTTGAGAATACCATTCTCGTCCATCTTGATGACGAGTTTTAAACCTCTGACTTCATCAAACAACCTGCCCAAGTGGGATAGCAGCGATTGCGTCTTTCCATGGGAAAGAAAATTGGTTTGATCGTTTCATTTGTGCAGAGTGAACGTGTAGTTGCCAATGTTGCTACAGGGTTCTGTCATCTGTGCCCAATTTGATCCATGTCTAGTGTAATGGCAGAATGACAAATTTTAGAACTTTCTGTAGTAGGAGAGTGTATTATTTGGTTTCAGTAAATGGTTAATTTTATGCTCGAGTTTATTTTAAATTTTCGTATTGTTAATGAAACAATATATATTTAGATTGGAGTCAATATTTTCTTTGAATTCCTTCAACAACTCCATTGTAATAATTTAACTGGGAAAAGACCTGGACAGTCACAGTTGAGGCTTCCCATTTGACACATTGGGATGGAAAATTTTGTATGGTAGATTTTTATCTTTTAAGAAATAAAAATGGCTTTACCCATCTTAGGCTCCTTGCCTCTTTCTCAACTCTAAATTACTACGCAATAAGGGGTAAACCGCTAAAGCAATGAAAAAGAGAAAGAAAAAGAAAACATGAGAAATGAAGTAATAAATTCTTGAGGAGCCACTTTTTTTTTATGGGGTATATGAAGCCAATATGATTCAAACAGCAGCAGCTGCGCCTCATCATACTCTCAATCATCTTTATATCATGCCATGGATGAAACAGACTTTGGATCTTCACATATCATGCCTTGTTTCCCTTCTCTGAAATGCAGAAGAAGACAATCATTACCAAACTTTACATATACATACACACACATATACTATATTTTTTGCACATTCACTACCATAAAGTATATAAGGTAGTAGTGATTAGTCAATTATAACCCAATTAATAAGCTAAAAAAAAAAAAGTTGCTGAGAATAAAAACAATGTTTCAGAAATACTAATTATTATACTTAGGCTAGCCTCCATGACAGAGATACTCGACACTCTTATTCTAAACAATTTTATATGATATTTACACTCAGAATCCAATTGCCAAACACCCTTTGATGGCGCCGCTAATAAACCAACCTAATTTTAGTCAAAAGCAAGTCAATAAATTCCTTCCACTAGAAACCCAATTCTGATTTCTGAGATTCTCTGTTTGATTATCTCTTGCTTAAAAAAAGGAAAAGAAAAAAAAAAACCCACTTACCAAACAACATCATTCTTCTACTGAAAAGTCAAGAACAGAGAATTATCTTTCAAATCAATGATTCAGAACAGATTTCTTGTATGTTTTACCTTTTTCTTTTATGGATAAAAGTGGGAATACAACTTAAATCATCAATGAAAATTTCATGCTATTGAACTACAAACTAATGAACAAAAGAAAAAGGTGGTTACTTTCTCTTCCTAAAGTGATATTTTTTTTAATAATTACGTCAGGAAAAAGCAAAAGAAGACAAATAATAATAATAACCCAAGTCCATTAAAAACGCACGCAACAGGTTATGTTAGCAGTCAGACCAAACTGTACCTTTTTCTTTTCACCAGGGCCCTTCATCAGGATAATCGAACGGCAGAGGTTCAACGGGGGAACTCTTGCGTAAATCAGGGTGCACGAATCCATACTTGCGCATAACTTGATTGTCTGCAAAATTAACGGCGCGGATCATTCCTTCCCAGCACGACTCCCCAGAGTACATCTGGTTGTGGTCCCCACTGCACGGCTGACACCCCGTGAAGTGCGTGATGAATGGTCGCCGCCGGCTCCCTTTCCCTCCCTGTTCGCCCTTCAGGTACCGTTCCTCTCTCAACGCACCGTATCGCTCGCTAACTACCTCCGCGTGCCGTCGTCGGAGATCTCTGTCGCCTCTCTCCATCTCCAGGTAACGCTCGGTGATGTTATCGAAGGTACTCATTATCTCCGCCCAGTAGCCTTCGAAGTAGTACTCGCCTTCAAGATAAATCTTGTCGTAGTACTTCTCTCGCTCCTTGTACAGCAAGTAGACGAGCGCCGACTGATCGTCGGATTCCGGAAAGAGCTTGTCCTTGAAAGTAGACCGTTGGATGCGGCCCCACTCTGCGTAATCCGGGGTGATTGGCCCCATGCTCGACCAGACATCGATGAGGTCCATGGACCACTGACAGTTCCTGATTAGAAAAACCCCAGCGTTGAGACTGGTCCAGCTTTTCTTACCGTATATCAGCTTGGCCCACCCGTGGACCACCACGTTATGGTGGCGGTACCGGTGCAAGGGAAGTTCGAATTCCATGTCGGTGATCAGCGCGTCGGAGTCCACCCACCAGATCCACTCCGCTTCAGGGTGCGCCAGCATCGCCGCGCGAACCACCGGCAGCTTGGCCCAGTACGAACCCATTTTAGGATGCAGCAAAGCGTTGTTGTAAAATATGTCGTGCCCGTGGATCCTGCAGTAGTCCACCTTGTTCTTGAAAAATCTCAGCAGAAGGTGATCGCCAATCGGGTTCTTGCATGGCGACGGCTGCGACCCCGTCACCATCAGCACCCGCTCCCTGTCACCGGCGGCGAACGATGGATGAAGCTTCAGCCACTGCTTCCTCTTCTCGTCCCAGTTCGTCACCCGTTTCTCTATCGAGTAACTCAATCCTGGATCATCGTAAAATGTCTCCTCCAGCGGGTCGTAATGCCGGTTAAGCTCATGCCCGCAGGGTGCCGACCCGGGAGAGGCCTTCTGTACTGACTTCGGATCGCCAATTGTCGGATCGAAATTGGGGGTGGAGCTATAAAACGAGAAGAAAGACCAAACAAGCAAAAGAGCCAAAAATGCTCCACCGAGAAACATTAACCCATCAGCCAAACAGAAAGAGGCTCTGTTCCTGAAACCGCCATGTTTCACCATTGAAGATATCTGTAGATGTGACACCTCAGGCGAGACCATTCTACTTCACAAGCAGAAAACTGATTCCTACCACCACCGTGCCTTGTTTGTCTCTTTCTTCCTAGTCAATCACTAGCCATTTAAATGCAAATCAGTCAAAAGTTTAATTTCTATAATTTACACTGTATAATCACGAAATACCCGCTTTCCTAAACTGCCCGAAACGTTTTAAATCGAGACAGATAGTGCAGCCAAAACAAACACCACCACCGTAATTTGTTGGTTCTTTAATGGAGTAATGGCCGTTTTGAGTCTGCGTTACAGTGACCCTCGTTGCTAATGTGTTCGCTGCAGCGTTTGGCTTTGATTTTAAAATAAAAAATAAATAAAAACGAGGCGTCGGCTTCTTGGCGCCGGTAATGCTAAAATGCGCGGTGCATGTTCAAGCGAGATTAGGCGTGAACTACGACGGTTGAGTGGGCCCCGACATGCGTCTTACGTGTGAATTTGAAAATAACACGTGGATTATGACACGTGAGATGCGACCGACATTTTGGGGGGCTAGATTTTCTGTCTTTGCTTTTGGACTCCCCTGCAAATTTTCCGTTATTTCCGTTTAATTGTCTGTTTATCTTTGAATTAAGAATGGTAAATATTAATTAATTAATTAAAATTTTAGTTTAGGAATGTAATCGTATCAGATACGGGTATATAATTCAACACGTACGAAATACAATTAAAAATAAATAAAAATTTAATAAGAGAAAAAAATTGGTTGAGTTTTGACGGTTTGATGGGACCGAAGGCGATTATCAATTTTCTAATATTAGAAATTAATTAATAAATTTGTTCTGTCTTTTCATTAATTGGTTCGGTCCTCTTGGCAGCAAATTACGCTGGAAATTAAGGAGGTTCAACCTCCCGAATCTAAACACAAAAAACAGTAGTTTTGACAAATATGAGCTAAAGCGATGGTGTTCTGAAAAGCAGTGACAGCAAGGGGGGAGTCTACTAAATAATTCCTCTGTTACTGTCTTCTTCAAATGGTTACAAAAAAGAGGTGCTTATATAAATGTTGTATTGAATTTTGTAATACCCATGTGAAAGAAAAGTAGGCGAAGGAAAACACAATAAGGTGAAGATGAAAGACAAGCTTTTTAGTAGAGTTTTGTCATGTAATGAGATCTGGAAATGTACGCCTAGAATTGAAATTCGAGAGAATTGAGGAAATACAAATAATTTGATTTCGTAACGTGAAAAGATACGAGACGGGGATGATTAAAGTAAGACTTGTGGAGATGAAGGGAGGCAGCCCTACTGTCATGTGGCTGCCATTAAATTGCAGACTGAACAGGACTTATCAACAACAGACAGAATGGGACTCGTAGTATGAGTTTATAACACCCCAGACCCTTTCATGTGATGCTCTGACATTACAGATCCTGACACGGTCTCTCCTAGTTTATTTTATGTTGGCAGAAACTTAACACCAAGCTTTCGTAGCTCAGTTGGGTTAGAGCACCCGTTTAGTAAGCGGGAAGGTCTTGAGTTCGACTCTCAACGAAAGCATCATTTTACTCTTTCTTTTTTCTCACTGTGAAAGTACTTCTGTCATCTTCTTTGCTATTTTTTATGGAAGAAAATTCCTGCCGTGTTCATTCTTCCTCCAAAATAATTTTCGTATTACTGTGAGAAAACGAATCATCAGTAAATGTTTGGTTGCTTTCCTGGCTCAGATAGTTATTGGGTTTGAAGTTTCTTTTTTTAATCCCAATGTGGAAGAAACAACTCTTGTTAGAAACAACACCAGACCGATTGAAGTGCCAAAATCATAATTTCAAGTCCTGCAAGTTTCTTGGCAGATCAAGCATAAAATATAAAGGTCAGAACCGTCAGACTCTATTACTTTCTTCCTTTTACTCTGAGATCAGCTACCTGTCATGCTAATACACCATTAGGTTTCTATAAGAAACAGCGTAACTGGTTGTTCTATTTCTGCCTAATACATCCCTTGAGTACAGAGATTTACATTTCCAGTGTGTGTGGACAAATCATTAATAGTCCATATTTATGAATGAATCAGAAAGAGTGGCGATGGGGTAGAAACCTCCAAAACACTGCATTTCTACCCTCTATCCCTCCTAAATGCTAAAGACATCTCTAGTCTGACTTTATTTATCCAATTTTTGCGGCTCAACATCCTTCCAGGTCGCGCCATTTCAGGTAAACCAATCCAGCCTGATAGTGAGTATATGCTCCGGCCACTACCAAAACATGGAAGAGCTGGTGACTATGCCCTGCAATGTCAAATTTTCCGGGCATCCATCTCTCTGGAATCCTTGTTGCATAAACAGCTGCTCCAAGCCCATATAGAAGTCCCATTAGGATCTCATACCCGGTTGTGTGAAGTGCTTCTGGCTGCTCCCAGAACAAGATAAGTTTGTGCAGAATAGGTGCAATACCAGATAAGCCCATACCGAGGAAGAGAGATGCACGAATGCTACGGAATTCCGGATTCTGAAACACAGGCAAGAGGGAAACCAAGATTGTGGCAATTCCCAATATGGTTATGAATCCCATGTAAAGGTTGCAGAAGAAGGGATTGCACATGAAGGAGTAGTAGACAGGAGGGTAGAAGGAAGTAGATATAAGGGCTGCAATTCCAGCATAATCAAGCCTGAGCATGATGTACGACAGGCGCTCCGAGTGGCACGAAAGAAGGTGACATGTGCTGCTTGCCAGTAAGCAAAACATTGCCCCACCAAGGAAAGCGAAAAATGGCCAGCGTGTTATTGGTCTCACCATCAATGGTGCTATTATGTTTGCCAAATCCTCCTTCACTGTATGCTGCAAAAAGTCAAAGGCATAAAAGCCATTAGCCTTGCAAAGTTCTTAATACATGAAAAAAAATCTAAAGAGGAATTAAACAGAAGTAAATTTCTGTTGATTTATTTTCCATTCTGCATATAGTAGAAATGTTTTTACTACAAAACACAAGTTTCCTGAAACATCAAGACATCTGCAGAAAGGACTCTGGTTTATTAAATCTTTCTAATGATACTTCTTTCAACCGAAAAAAGAAAATGATATAAAAGAATTTAAGTCCTGCAATGATTGACTAACAGAGTTGGCAACATTCTATAAACATCATAAAAGAGAGCATTACCAGAACACAAACATCAGTGTGGTTGCCACTGGAAAATCGCTCTGGCAAACAATTATATAGAAGATCTACAACATGCCAGCCTGACCTAAATCTGTCAGGGATGTTTGGCAAGGAAGGGAGGCATGTCAAGAGTTCTGAATGCAATTTGTGCAGATCAGCCTTTCTTAAAACATCAGGGATATGTTGTAAGGACTGAAGATCAACAACCTTAGGGACCTTCATTGCAGTGTATATGGTGAGTGCAAGGAAAAGGAAGAACCCTATTAAATGCCTGCAACCAATGCCAAAATATTTGTTAAAGATGTAATACCAGCAGCTCATCTATTTTTCTATGGAAAGAACCAAGACATATACTGAAATCCAGTGACACGGTAGCTTATAATCTTTTAAAGCTTCATCAATGGCGACTGCTGGGAATATGAAGAGCTATATGTAAATGCCTTCAAATAATGTCAATGTATGTTTGTCAAAGGAGTACATTATTTATCTCTATAGAGAAAATACCAAGATATACTGATACACCGTGAAAGCTAATATTCATGCCACCAGAGTTTTACCATTTAAATTATTTTAAAAGCTATTATCTTCCAATCATTAACATCAAATTGGTTGAAAAGCCAGTACTCAATTAATATTATGAGCATGAGCTTTAATATAACATTCTCCAAAAGTCTGAAATTAGCAACATATCATCTGAGGAGGGAAAAGTAAAAAAAATCCTAAAGCTTCTTTATTACACAAAGAAACAAAAATAAATATTAGCATCTCTTGTAGGCGCAACAAGATAGTTCAACTTAAATTTCAATTTCCAAAATGGTATCTTTTTTACACTCAATGCCTCAGCAAAAGTATCCAAATGCCAGCTGCAGTTTATTTCAACAATGAGAAGGTATAATAAATATAATAAGACATGCATGAAGTATTAGTTCTTGTATGCATGTAACCAGCTTTTGAAACCCTAAATCCTACAAAGACAAAAGAAGTAACAATTAAAAACAAGAGGCCAAATAAAGTTTAAATATAAGAATATGACATAGTCCTAAACCCATTATGATAACAAAAATTATTTCAATGTCAAGTCGAATACCAGTCTATTTTCAATAAGCTACACAAAAAACACACTTCAAAAGTTTCACAAATTTTGGAATATCCTTACATGTCTGTGTCTCTTACAATAAGGAAAGACTAAATTTGCAGGTAATTTCCAAAAATTCTAATAACAGCACTAAATATGTCACAAATATGATTCCCCCATAGTGCATAACCAAACAGGTGGAGGTAAAGACAAATCCCCTTCCCTTGTCTTTCTTTTATTCAACTTTTATATTACATTCATATAATTTCCATTCCTCCTACAGAGGGACCATGAAGACTAACAAGAAAGCCCAAGGGAGAGTTATATTGCCCGCTATTGTCCTGAAGGGAGAAATTATATCTATGAATAGCATATTTTGCTCAAGAAAGTAATTCCTGGGTATATGAGAAATCACTTTGTAATCCTTTTTCTTTCCCTTTTAAGAGCTTATGTCCATCATTTGGAACAACCAAGTGCTCTGCCACGAAAATGAAGACAAGATTGTTTAACCTATTTCTATCCACTAAACAATCAGCAAAAATTAAATTCAAGACTGAAATTTTAAATAAGCCAAATGGATTCACAGAGTTGCATGTACGTTAGATTAGTAGAAAGAATCAACAGTGCCTACTACATTGATAGTTAACGTGCAAGCAATAAATTATAGGTCTACAAACCACCAGAAACTCATACTCATATACCTTCCCATCAGTGAAATGCTATCAACTAGGATAATAAATTTGATTCTAACTCAAATATTTCAACTAGCAAATACAACCACCTTGAGATTTCTTTCTTCAAACAATATTTAAATTTATGATCCTTATTTCAGTAATAAACATAAAGGATTTCTTTCAATTCAACTATTTCCTTCAGAGATCATATAAAAGCTAGGATCAGATCAGATCAGAACTACCATTTTAAATACGCAACATATGCTTCTCTCCACAAAAAGAAAGAAGCACAAAGCATCAGTCCGTTTAACAGCAAGGAATCCAATATCATAAGCAGGGTATTATTCCCACATAAAGATCGGATAACAAACCACTATGATAAAAGTTGGAGATAGTGCCTAGTGTTTTTTAAAAAAGAAAAAAGAAAAAGAAAAAAAAAGAAAGAAAAAAACTTACGTCCACACGTTCAATGTCTCATTGTGGATGGTGAAAATGCTAAGCAGAACTTGCTTCAATGGCCATTCCGATCGGTAATGACCAACAATGTACTCATTGTCCCTTAGATAACCAGGTAAAGAATGGTACTCTACCAGCTGATACTTCACCTTCTTCCACAATCTCTTCCCTTTCCCTCCCTTTGAAGAACATAAACTGTGCTTCTCAACAGTTTCGGATGATACTTTCGTAAAACTTTCTCCCTCACCAGCCATCCTCTGCTCAAAACAAACCTACATAATATAATCAATAGAACAAGCCCCTCTTAACAACTCTCAAAACAAATTCGTCTAAGCTAGCTTTTAAATCTCAGACATACCAGCTAAACTCAAGCTCAATTTGGGAGAGAAAAGAAAAGGCAAAAACGTTTCAGCTTCTTTGATTGAAAAAGAGTCCAAAATCTTCACAGGTCAAGAAAAGGGTACGCATAAAAGTATCTTTCAAAAAACAAAGCTAAAAACCAAACCTTTCTCTCCATTCGTCTAATGAAATGGTGATGGAAAACAAAGAATAAAAAGAGAATCATAGAAAAAAACTACTAAAGAAAATGAAGATTTAAGGGGAACCGGAGATAAAATTACGTTAAAACTCACCAAACAACCAGTCGAGAAGAGACCCAGATGAGAATTCCTTCAAGCGAAGTCGCTGTATATTGAATATTATCAGGCGAGATTACAGAGGCAAATCCAAACAAGAAAGCGTTAAAGAAGAGACTATCGAAAATACGCCAAAAGGAAACAGGAGAAAAATCTTAAACTATAGAAGCAAACAGACAAGGTCACGCACTCGGAAAGCAAGGAAATTTTTTGGAAGTTCTGCAAATCAGAAACGCAAGCGAAAGAAATTTATCGAAGAGAACGCATCGTTAATAAAATCGCGGAGGAGCCAAAGCTTTTCATTTTTTGTAGGCAACAAGTTGCGGTTTTGGCACGATTTATGGCGACAGTGAGACCCCGCCGAACCAAATAGATGGGAACAATTCGTCGATTTTATAGTGGACCCCTCACCTTTTTATTTATTCGATAAAAGCCCCTCTAATTTTCGATTTTCATTTTTTCTATTGTTTTTTTTACACTTTAATATAATTATAAAACGGTCTTTAAATTTTTATAGTATTTCAATAGTGAAAAATTTGATTATTTTTATATTTTTTATTGTTGTAGTAAATAAATATTAATTTAAAAAATATTTTTATATGGAATAAATAATAATTACACCATCGTTACATTTAATTACACCATTCAATACCAACATTAAAAGATCAATTTTGTAGGCAAAAGTTGACTCCTAATTTGGGTGCTGGCAACTCATGCTGTGTAATGTCATCTGGTGGTTGGCGGTAACAACATACTCCCTCTTTATAAGGCTGCAGCATCTCTTCACCATTTCCTGTAACACTCGACCAAATCGTGTATGTATGTGATTAATTACCTTGTGATTGCATTTTATAAATAGAGAAATGTATAGTGAAACTTTATATTGCTTTAAAAAATTGAGACAATTGTTAGGCTTACTTTGTTGACTCTCTTGTGTAAGCATCCTAATTTTTGATCGTCAACAACTTCATCTGTCACGCACAGCACCACAGATGCTGCTATTGTGGATGGATGATATTCCAAGAAATCAATCTCTGCTTCACAAATCCCAATCAAGCTTTTTAACCGAGGTCAAAGTTTTCTGTGTAAATTATATATAATAAAGAAACATAATACGTGTATATAATTACCTGTACAGGTGGTGATAATGAGATGAGAAGCGAGGGAGAGAATGCATGTGAAGCAACAAGATTTGGTGGGAAGAGAACAAGAAAGTAGGTTTGAAGTGAAATAAGGTAGAAAATTGAAAGGTGTAATGATGCGCAATCGCCATTTCAGGTTCCCCATAACCACAAGTTCCATTCGTTGAATTGTTTTCGGTTTAAACAAGAACTTTGGTTTCTTGATTTGCAAGTCTAACAGAAATGGCACTTCTCTTTCTTCCATTTTTACTGCCACTGCCAAGCATGCTATTGCCGCTAGTTGTATCGCCCAGGCTTTATTTTTCTGCGTACACCCCGAAATTTAGACGAAAACACAGTTAAATTTAAATTTACGTTTTGTGAAAATGAGTACAAATATAATTTACTCGAACGACGATAATTTAATTTTAGTAATTAACTAATAATTTAACTTCTTCTCGGTGGTCTTAGTTCTTTCCGTATTAGCCAGAACGGAATTAATTACCGGCAGAGTTTTAGAACAGAGGAAACGATTTAAATAGTTTACAGAAAGATATATGGTTTCAGGCTTGAATCCGTAGTAAGAATGAACCTGTAAAATTCAAAGTACTCGCAGCATTAACAACCCAATCCCTCCGAAAATCAATAAATCAAACTATTAATTATTTCAGACCGTAAACAATTAATTAATAATAAAAATACCTCGAACATCCAGTGGACGGCGTCGTCTCGATGAGCAGCAGCAACAACCTCTCGGAGATCAGAAATCTCGGTAACTGACAGCATTCGATCAAGCTCCGAGTCAAACATGCACTCTACAGAATCCTCGTCTTCATCGTCGAGTGTATCTAATGTACCATGACCATCACACGTGTCAGTACCGCACGATGACACGTGGTCTAATAAGACATCGGAAGCTGTTTCGTTGCAGTACAAGGAATGAGGAGGAGGAAGAAGAAGAAGAGTTCTACACTCGTCGGATGCAGACATCGTACTTTGTTGTTGGCCAGAAAAGATAAAAGAGGTTCTGCGGTGTTTTGTGGTGTTTTCTTTAGTTTTATATATAAATTCCGAGCAACCAAACAGTGGATGCATAAATCACGTTTTCATCAATGTGGGACCCATATGCATCTGTTTGATACTGGCGTGGGGTATATGTGGGGTCCAGAGTTCTTTTCAGGAAACTTCCTGGGAAGTAGTGGGAACTACTGAAACCAAAACTGAATGGAGGGTCTGGGCCCGGGTCCGGGTCCGGGTCCAATGAATGATGTGTACTTTTCAATTTTCATTTTAATTCTATTTATTTATTTTAAAACAATTAAATATTACACTATAATTTGTATATCCATCCTATTATTTTTTACTTTTTATTAAAAAAATCATATTATATATTTAACTATGGGCCTTTTGCATGTATGCCAGGCCGAATAAACATTCATCGGCCTCTTCCAAAGAGAGAAATCTGGGTCCAAATCAAATGAAGTCCAAAGCCCAAAATACTGTTGTCGACCAAGAAAATTTGTGTGGACCATTCCAGGCCCAGACTTGAAGGCGGGTCGGGCTATTCAAATAAAAAAATTTTAACGAAAAAATTTAATTACTATGAAATATTTATTTATAAAAATATAATAAATTTACTTAAACATAACCTAATTTAATTACTGCAATCTTATTGATATATTAATGAATTAAAATTTTAATTTAAATATACTAAATAATTTAAAATCAGCGCACAAAATTTGTGAAAAAGAAACTCAAAATTTTTTCCGGGCCTTAGCGAGTTTATGAGATTGGTTGGGTTTAGAATTAGATTAAGGGAGTAATTAAATCAATTTGTAACGGCTCCGGAAATATAGAATGAAATATGTATATTAAAAATGTCAAATGCGGAAGCGTAATAAAAATTTTGATTAACATCCTTTACACAAAAATAAAAAACGTGCTCAAAATATAAAAGAACAAACTAACTAAAATAGATACTCGAAAATAAGAACTATAAATAGAACTACGGAGTATTTAGGCATCCCCTTCGCTGTCTTCCTGCGGAACGGGCTCGGAAACAATGTCTTCCTGATTTGAAATGGTTAAATAAGAAATGAGCTACACCAGCCCAATAAAGACATCACACTATCTCACTGCCACGGAGGTAAAGGTGGGTAGAAAACACAAAAAGACCAATAGAGCATAATTTATAATAAACTCATTTATTAACATAAAAACCTTTACTGTCCACTTACCTCGGTGAGATCCATAAAACAACATATGAAAGCAATAACATTATCATCATCATGAAATCATATGAACTGTATAACATAATACTTACCACGCCTTTGCATTTCAATCATTAAACAACACATTTTCCTCATGTATCCATGGGGATCCATAGGGGTCCCGCTGCCCGTGAACCCTTAACATTTATAACTTGATTCCAGAGCCGTCCCCATACCCCGTCCGGTATGGGCGCCAAAACACATAAGGTCTCCATACCCCGTCCGGTATAAGAGACCACGTTCCCGGTAGGGTTCCCTACGGACCCAGTTCGTCCACCATCTCCCAGGATATCTAGTCGGACTGTCCACATTATCCATTTATCAATTCACATAACCTTTTTGCCCTTTTCTTGGTTTCAATCATCCAAACACACGCAACATGTAAACCAGTAATGGACACCAAACAAGACAACACAGTATCGGGTTCTCAATCATTCAACCCATAATCAATAAAACAGTAATATATGCACACGAAACTATGAAATGAAAATATTAGACATCATACTGCATTTAAAACAGTAAAATAAAATAAACAACAATTGATCAACAAATACACCAGACTCGGGCTCCATTAGCGACCTTAAACAATTTCACACATCTATTGATTCATGAAATACCGTTTTATCATTTATTGAACTTTAATACCATGATAGGAAATAGGGTGAGGGGTCCCTATCTGTTTTGGGGTCTGAATACGGCTCTACAGTGCGCCTACAGGCTGTCCCTAATTTTCCTGAATTTTTCCCAGAAAACTAAAACGCACTATCGGTACCTGCACGTGTTCCAAAAAATCTCAAATCAAACCTAGGGCCCCTTTCGGCCAATATCGAAATTCTGGCATTCGCCTCGGATTGGCCGTTTTCAGCCGAATTTGGTCACACTTGCATCGGTTCCTGCAATAAAACAACCCCAGGGCCCTCGGTAGGCCAAAAAATCACGAAAAACCGAAACTTACCGGCGGTGGTGCTCTCGGGTGCGGTGACTCCTCCGGCGTGAGTCGCGTTTTGATGTTTGACTCCGATTAACCTGTAGAGAAAAGAACGGTGATCACAGTGGTATAAAGTTTGCATCGAACGGAGGCCGGGAAGGGCCTCATCGGAGGCAAAAACCGAGGAGGGGCGCGGCGGCGCCGCTGGGTTTCGGCTTGGTTTTCCGCCCGTTTGGCCGGTGGTTTGGCTCCAGTTTGGCCATAGGCGGACTCAGCGTCGAAAAACGAGCAAGGGGGAGAAAAATTACCTCGATCAGCGGTCAGAAACTTCCCCGGTGCGGCGGCGGGTGGCGGCGGCCGGCTCCTCCGGCGTCTGGTTCTTCTTCTCTGGCGAGCACTGGCGGCTAGGGTTTCTTTGGTCAGGTGTGGGTGGGGGTATTTATACCCTTTGCCTTTTAATCTTGACCGTCCATCAAGATTGAATCTGGACCGTCCGATCGCGATTTAATTGGGATTAAATCTGGACCGTTCATCGCGATGCAATCTGGGCCGTCCGTGCGCGTAGATTTGGGCCGTATATGCGCACGTTTGATCTGAGCCGTCCGGGTGCGCGGGAACAGATCTGGGCCGTCCGATCGCGCGCACGCGGATCGCCCCGTGGCCCGCTCTCTAGTCAATGTTGCCTTGCCACGCGGCGCGTTCTGGTTGGCCGGGGCTGCTGACCGGGCCGCTGACGTGATGCAACTTTTCTAAATTGCATTTTGACTCCAATTTTCGATTTTCTTTTCAAAAACACCAACAGAATACAAATTTTCACCAATTTTTCTCAAAATCAATTTCAATTAAATCCAAATAATATTTTTACACAATTTTATCATTATTATTATTTTTATTTTTATCAAATTAAATTAAATAAAAAATTCAAATAAATAAATAAGAATAAAAATAAATAAATAAAATCTTTATTTTTATTCGAGTGTTACACAATTAGTGATGGCTAAGTAAGTGAATTATCAGGTAATTAATTAATGTGACGGCATGCAAAGTATTAGCGTGATGTGAGTGGGTGATTCAGTTGAAAATGCAGTGCAGCATGCAACGAGCGATTTGGCGCAATTTCATTACCGCAAACCAAAGTGCTCTTTCAACCTCCCACCCACGTTTTGACCAACAATGCTCTGGATAATAATCAGATAATATTTTATATATAATTAATCTCCTATTGATATATTTAAATTACATTTTTTACATGTAAATTTTTAAATATTGTGTGTAAAAAATTAATTAATTTTTTTAAAAAAATAATATCTGTACGCAAATTGTGTATCAGCTCAACTCCCACCATGTCAAATTAATTAGTCAATGACCCGGAAGCCCGGGTATCAGGTTTTAGCTTACTGTTTGGAGCTAGAATTTTTGTTCCTTCCTCATTTAAAACCTAACCAACTTTTTTTAATCAGACGGTGATCAGGCCCATCGGATCATTGATTTCGGTATGATCTAGTTTGCTTGATGGGTGGCCCCCACACTTTTCTCCTCTTCTTCCTCTTCCGTGTAGGCTTAAACCAACGTGGCCTTGCAGATCTAACACGTCTCCATTACAACTCCATCATACTATATGTCTATATATATAACCTTTCAGTACCAGAAAACCGGTGTTATTAGTAGCGAGATTTATTAGCCTCTACGCTTCCTCGATGTTCTTTCGTAATGGCGGTGTGTGGTAACTGATTGATTCAACAAGTCAGAGACCATTCCATCTCCTTCACACCTCACTTTTTCATCATTTCTCAATAAATTGTGCCGTCTCACCGCTTTAGTTTCACCTTCAAGCCACCTCTAATGGCGTGAGGAACACCAAACCCAATTATTTCAATCCCAGGAGAAATCATTTCGCACTCTGTTCTTGATTTTTTTCTTTTCTTTTTCTTGTTGTTAGTCTCTGTCTTGGGTTACAGTGATCTCTTCGTCACATCGTCTGGATTGTGTGTATTACTTTACAAGAGCAAGCGTCGGCTGCCATTGATTAACACTTCAAGTATACTCACATAACCAGGATTTAAAACATCGGTACTTAATCGGAAATCTTATCTTCGAGTCCTCATTACCGTCGTTTTATAGCGTTGGGTTCTTGTTCGGTGGAGAGAGTTGGTGTGTTGTGAGCGTCAATGGGGAATTGTCAAGCGGCAGAGGCGGCGACTGTGGTGATTCAACATCCAGGGAACAAGATCGAGAGGGTTTACTGGTCGGTTAGCGCTAATGAGGTCATGAGCTCGAATCCAGGCCACTATGTTGCTTTAGTTGTGACATCACCGACTTTGAAGAACGAAAACGGGACGCCATTGAAGCAGCTTAAGCTCTTGCGACCCGACGATACTCTGTTAATCGGCCATGTTTATCGTCTCATAAGCTTCGAAGGTAGGTTTTATTACACCCGTTGGCAAACTAAGAAAACATATTCTGTAGACTAAACAATCTCTCTTTCATTCCAGATGTGTTGAAGGAATTTGCAGCGAAAAAGAGCGTGAAACTAGGGAAGCTGTTGAGAGACAGAGGAGCTCTTGCGCTTGAGGTGAAGAAGAATGACATGGGTGCCCCGAACCCAAACTCGAACCCCAACACGAACCCGAAGTCGAAATCCGAGAACTGCAGTTCGGTTAAGGTAAGAAATAGTTTATCCCATCATTGATTGTCACCTTACTCTACCAGAAAACTCTAAACAACTCTGATGTACATCAGTATTCTTACAATTACTGAAGACACTCCATCAAAAGATTAAAAGAAAATTACTGAAAACAGCAATTGTCAGGGTAAATTAATGAAGATTTAAATGGTGATACGTGAAATAATTTGGAACCCAGATTTCGAGAGTTGTAAATTTGTGACTGCAGATCTAATTGATTGATGACCTTGATCTGTATCTTTATCGTTTTACTTTTACTCTGCTTCTCCTCTGTTCTGTCAACTGGACTTTACTGTTGTTAACAGTAGAGAGGTAAAAGATTAAGGGAGAGGCAGTGGGTTATAAGTTTCTTTTTTTTTTAATATATATATATATATATAATAAAAAGGGGAATAAATTTGTTTTAAATTTTTTAAAAATTAATAAATATACTTTTGCAAAGTTTATTATTTCTTATATTTTACAAATAAAAATAATACAAAAATAAATAAGTAATTTAAATCAATTCAAAGTGTTTATTCTATTATTATATTGGTCACATAATAAAAAAAAACTACCCTATATTTTTACATTGTTGTAGACTAATTTATATTTCATTAGTCGTACTTAATTCATGACAATCAAACATCTTCTCTGTGTTTAAGAAAGTGGGTCATGATTAAGTCCTGCAAGTACAGTTTGCTTAATTTCACCATGAAAAGTGTACAGTTTGGCTATTAAACAAAAGATGAGGGAGAGGATTAGGAGTAAAGAGACTAGATGGAGGCTTTTATCAGAAATTATTATTGCTTCATCTGCCGTAATGAGAATATTAATCATCCTATACATACAAATTTGGTTGATATATATTTGATGATGGTAAATTAATTAGTCAATCAGATAATATTCCCTTGGAAGAACAGTAAATGAAAGTGAAAAAAAAAAAAAAAAGATTGCATTGTGAAATAATTGAATATTTGATAATGATTCCCTGATTCAAAACTACAGTGAAAAGTAATTTCCCTCGGTAAGATTGCATTGGGACCTATTTGTAATGATTCTTGGTTGAAACATATAAAGTTAGTGTAATCTAGACTGCTTAGTTTTTTTTTTAAAGTAAATGATATTTAGAATAAGTTAGTGTAATCTATAATTCATGGGTTGATAAATTGTAAATTGATTGTAAAGGTAACTATCTTTCCTTTTTACAGACTGATTATCAAAACACTGATTTTTTTTTGGTTGGGTAAAAAGTTAGATTAGAAGGATTGGACCAGGAAATAATTTTATGCATGTACTTTATTGTGCAAGTGAGGAACATGTATGAAGAAATATGGGGAAAAAATCTATCCAAGTAGATTTTCCATTCAGAATTGCGTGTGCAGTACTTTGTTTGTATGCATGAGAAAAAGTGCATGCAACAGATTATAGCAATGATTCATGGATTCATGTTATTCAATATTAATATGAATATATTGTCATTATTACATTTGTTGGGGATAAAGGGTAAGCAAAAAATTTTAGAAATTTTTTTTAATAAATATGAAATTGTCAGTGTCTGTGTCAGTACATGTGATAGTGGATTTTCTTTTATACATATCGTCTTTGCACAGGCGGAAGATGAGCTTATTCATCGACCAGGAAACAGCAACAGCAACAGCAGCAGCAGAAATATAGGAAAGCATAATGGTGGTGGGGGGCAATGGAGACCAGCCTTACAGAGCATTGCAGAGCTTGGAACTTGAATTCCCCACAAACCCTATAAATCAAAAACCACTCTAATATTTCTCCAATAAAAACAAACAACTTTTCTCATCATCCCACCCCTCCCGCCCCATAGCCTTTCACTATTTTCAATACCCTCTTCTTCTTCTTCGCCCTTCTTTTATCTTTTCCGTTTTTTTTTTTTGGGTTCATGTTTATATGTAAGGCCTAGCCACGGGCATTTGGGAGGATCAGACTCTGTATACCGGAATATTATGTGTACCTAATGTTTTATTAAACGAATTTCCGGCCTCAAATTACAGCCTCATGCGTTAAATTCAATAGCTTTTCCAAATTATTGCCTCGTTTCCTTGCTCATATGTTTGCTTAATCAAATGGGGAATCATATGTGTGGTTATACGGAATTGGAATTGTAGACAATAATGAACTGATGATACCATACATTCTTTCCTCTAAAACCCATAAAAGCAAAGGTGTTTTAAGACATTTTACGCCTACAACAAAATTGGCAATAAAAATATGTTTTTATCTACAAACAACTTGACCTGTTGCTTTCGTTTATAGGATGACAGTGAATAATGATGGAGAGACCACCTCTTTTTGGCATTTTATCAAACACGTAGAATGCATTACATGTGGCCTCTTTTCCATTCTCATCCAAATAGACAAAAACAGACCCCATTTCCTCTCATCATTGCTTGAGTAGGACGAAGGGATTTTGATTCAAAAGAAAAAAAAAAAAAAAAAAAACTTTTTTCAAGTAATTAATTAAAATTACCTACCCCAAATAATCTTCATTATCAAAACTAATCAAAGATTAATTTTTTTTTTCTTTTCCCTTTTGAGAAAACATATGTGTAAGTCCATAAGTAATAAATTTTGATGTAGCTATTGATTTCTAAAAGGTACAGAGATAATTCAATTTTGATGGCTGTTTCTCATTTGCATATAGGTCGTCCGATGTGAGCAGAATCGCTTAGTCATGCCACACAGCCAAGAGAAAAGATTATGGAGAATTGGTTGAAATGAGCGCTAAGTACTTTTCGAGACCTCTTCCAAATCACTCGTATGACCGTCCCAATCGTGAGCATCTGCACGTAGGTTCTTGATTCAAGTGGTAGTATCAGGTCTCTTAGTTATTGTTCTTGAGAAATTATTCGATTTAACCCATAAATTTTTATAGAATTTTTATTTATTTATTTTTGGGTAGATTCACCTAAGGAAGTTTTTATTGTTGTTATAAATGTAAAAATTAATTTTGTTGTTTTTACACGTCAGCTAATTTATGGGTCAGGCACCGATGAAATTTTATATTTCTGAAATACCAGAAATACCCCAATCTATATTTTGTATTTTCAAATGTGTGCCTCCTCTCTTCTCTCCTCCCGTCAGTTGCAGACCCAGACGAGAAGCGGAAATCATGGGTTACCGGGTACGGAGCTCCGTTTTCACTCTCCGGTTCCTGTTAGTGGCTTTCTCGGTATTAGTCTTCACTGTCTCCGCCGAACAACTCTCTTTAGGTACTCTCTTATCTTATCTTTATTCCTCGTCTCCTGCGATTGAAATATAGGGTTTGGTTTGTTTCATGATGACTAAAAAACGAGTTTATTGGACGCGTAGTATCTTGGATTCTATTTGCAAAATCTAGGCATTGAACGGGAAATCGATGAAAAATCGGGTTGTTAACACTGTTAGTTTTTTAAAAGAAGAAAAAGGTTTAGAATTTTAGTTAGGGTGGTGGATTTTCTGTTGTTTACTTGGAATGTTATAATTGGGGAAATTTTGATATTTCAGTCTTGCAACAAGACGTGAAACAAAATTGCAGTAACTAATCGAAGCTGTAGCTGTTTCTTATTTACTCTGCCTTCAATATTTTTGGTTTTTGTAGTTGTTGGTGAGTCCAGTACACTGCAAATATCTCCTAGGTTGCTAGTGAAAAACTCTCCTGGACTGAAGCCAGGCACAGCCGTGCTTTGTGAAAGAGTACATATCCAGGGAATTTCAAGGCTCAAACATTTGGATAAGTATGCGCATTCAGCGAAGGTGAAAGTCACTCAAAATAGTTCAATCATCCGACAACCACTCCTTGAAGCTTGTTTTCATAGGTGAGTGAGTATGTTATGTGATTGTTCAACCAAACTTACAAAGCTAATAACTTATTCATCTGTACAATTGGTATGCTGTAATAATTTTTCTCTGATCATCTTAAGGTTTTCAAGGAGGTAGACATGGAAAAGTTTTGTATTTTCTCAACTGAGCTGGTTTCTTCTGTTGAATGCAAAATTATTGGAGTTATGCATTCTTGTTTTGGCCAGGGGCAAGTGGAAGTGTTATTACTCTGATTCATGACTCTTCTCTTTTTGTTGGCAGGAATAGATCTCTTGGGATAGGAATGTGCCCTCAATGGAGGTGGGAGAAAGTTTCCCAGGATTCATGGGCTCGAGCCATGTCACCTTTTGACCACAAAATTTTAGATGTACGGGTGATTGGTTTATCCTCGGAAACCCTTGAGGTGTCAATTGAAGAAGGTGCTTAATTCTTTTCGTAATATAATCTGTAAATTGTCTTTAATCTTACTTGGTTTTTGGTACAGATGGTTCTTTCATTTACACCACTCTTTTATTTTTGCAGAATTTTTCGTATACCGGTTAATATTTTTAATCCTGGGCACTGTGTTATTGAGCTTGGCTTCTGCCCTGAGCAAATCCTTAGTCTTTTACTACAGCAGTGCCATGGCTGTTGGAATCATCCTTGTTGTACTGATAGTCCTTTTTCAGGTACGTTTTTCAATGCTATACTAACTGTTTAAATTTTTATTGTTTGTAAACTATCATTGATATCTATGGATAGGCAGTTTATTACAAGATTTATTGAATGTAAAACGATAGATTGTTTTCGTATAAATATTTGTCAAAAATTACCAGTTTGTGAATTCTTTTTCTTATTAATTGTTGAAATAAATGAACATGTGGAGGTACTTGACTTGGATTATGCTGAACCAGCTTTTTTTTTCATATTGGTGGTGTTTGTTGCAATGCCTTTTTTTCTTTGAGTTCTTTGGTAATATTAGTTACTAATAGATTGCTTGAATTCTGGTTATAAGTTCTTAGTTTGGTTTTTTTTTTTACATTTGGCTTTGTATAGTCAAGGATGGAGTTTCTAGCTACCTGAAACACCTTACTTATTCGGTTGTTGTTTCTGTATATATTTTGCTTGCTGTATTTCATGTGGCGCTATAATTTAGTCTATGGTTATATTTTCTTCTGATCTATTTTATGCCATTTTCCATTACATTCTTCAATGGATCCACAGGGGATGAAGCTTCTCCCAACTGGACGGAAGAGTTCACTTGCCATTGTTCTATATTCATCTCTTGTGAGTACAAATATCAAGTCTCTGATAACTTAGCTATAAACCCCGGCCCCTCCGCCCCACCCCTTCTTTGTGAGGGCTTTCTTGAAAAGAAACTTTATTGCAAATTAAGTTTATTTAAACATCTTTTTTTTTTCCTCTTTTGTGAAGCTTGGTTTTGGATCCTTTCTCCTAGGCTACTTTCCGAGGCTGTTGCGGCTAATTCTTAGGGAGATGGGAATCAGTGAAGATATGTACAATCCTGTATGTAAGTTGTAAATGGTCTCATCAGTTTCCTTAATGCATATTGCATAGCACTGTATTAAAAAAAAATCTCATTTATGAATGCTGTGACCCTTTTGGTAGTTGAACAGTAAGTTACATCCTGATCTTCATTTTTTCTTATTATTTTTTTGAGATAAACTGCTATGGATAATTGGACTGTAAATTCTTCGGGATTGGTTGCAATCTAAATATGGTAACTTACCCCATTTCAGATTAGTGCCTGGGAGAGCCCTCTTTACAGCATATAATCATTTTTTCTTACTATTTTTTTCGAGATCAACTGCTAGGGATAATTGGACTGTAAATTCTTCGGGATTAGATGCAATCTAAATATGGTAACTTACCCCATTTCAGATTAATGCCTCACAGAGTCCTCTTTACAGCATATGACAGAAGTCCCCCCTCGCTCCCTTTTTCCCTTGTAGTGACTACCTGTACAGGGGACCTGCCATTTCACTTTTTTTTAGTTATATAAGTGGTCTTGCAATCGAGAATTGAAAAGTTTATAAAGTCTATTATGCTTTCCACTACATGTCCCTTTTTCCCTTTGCTACATCTTGTTGGCATGTGTAATTGGTGCTTGTTGTTTTCGTGTTACTATCTTTATTTGTCTTAAGATAGAAAACTCCATAAAATTTCTGTAAACAGTTGTTTTCGTGATCCATATGCCATATGCCAAAGTTTGTGGAACTAAACCGTGGTATTTATCTTAGTATTCCCTTTCATTAGCTAAACGTTTTATTAAAATATTACTGCAGTTGGCGATCTTTCTGCTTGCATTTCTTTTTCTGGCTGGAGCATGGTTGGGCTTTTGGGTTGTCCGCAAGCTTGTTTTGATGGAAGATGGATCAGTTGATACCAGCACATCATCTTTTGTTGCATGGTCCATCCGCATTCTGGCTGGAGTTATGGTTCTTCAGGTTTGAAGTTTGTCACCTTTGAAGTTCTTGTAAATCTCTATAGGATTTTTAGTTAGGGAAAAATTTTAGAAGTCATGAGTGTTAATTTAGGTTTGCAAATTTTATTGTGTTGTGCCCAGAGCTCGTTGGATCCTTTGCTGGCTGGAGGAGCATTTATATCTGCAGTAGTAGTTTCACTAATACTAAAGAAAACATTTAGGCTGAAGTTCTTGCGCAGGATCTTCAAGTAAGTCTACGACTATCAACGGTGATCTTTTTCCATTAATTTACAAATTATAAGGCTATGTTTGTAGTAAATCTAGAAATTTTGCAAAATTCATTTGCAACTTCACACTAAGTTCAACTAGAAGGATATGTAAATGCTGACAAAAGATTTGATTTAATATGGAATTTGGTTTGGAATTAAAAGAACGAACTCCATATTAGATCAATTCATGGAAATCAGATTGCATTTTCCTAATTCCACATATGATTTCTTTTTGAGGTTACCTTTTATCATTTTCGAAAATATATTCATCGTCTTCTGTATTTCAAAAAAAAATATTCACCATCTTCTGATTGAACTAAGTATTGATTTGTGAAGGAATTCCCTAGATTTTTATATTTGTTCCAAAAGTAGCCTAAGTCCCTACTATATTTGTATATATAACATATTTTAGATTTTCTGCTGTCTTATTATCCCAGTTTTTATGGTAGTATGCATTTTAATAGAAAGATAATATTGGAGTACTCTTACAGGAGATTATTCAAATTGGTGAAAAAGGGCTTCAAAGGAGTTCAAGCTCATGCCCCTGAGTTATCACCAGTTGATGATCTCGATGAATTTCTGTACGAGAGACCTGAAGCTTCAAAATTCCTTAGACACCGATACAAGCACTTAACATTGAATTCATGCAGTTCTCCTAAGCAAGGTTTGCATGATAATGTTTTTATTTTTTATTTTATTATTATTTTTTTTTCTAAAATGCCGATCATAGTCCCTTTACAACAATATAGCTGTTTACCTATATACGCCATTACTTGTTCAGGTATAACCAGGACACCACCTGGTCAGCTTTCAAGTCCTGGTTTTTTCCCTTCTACCTTCCATCAGACGCCTGAGAGGAGGAATTTTTCCAAAGATGAGTGGGAAAGATTCACTAGAGACTCCACAGAAAAGGCAGTTGAGGAACTTGTTTCTTCCCCTGATTTTGGAAAATGGGTAGCCAAAAATGCCGAAAGAATAAGTGTAACTCCCATTACTTCTCGTCAGCGTAAAAGATGGAGGTTCCTTTGGTTTGGATCAGCCTCTTGAGAGTTAACATAACCAAATTTTGCTTCCTTTGGTTTCTGAGCAAGCCAATACGATCTCGTTGAAAGTCAATGTTCTGAGGAAGTTGCCACTCAATTGCTGAAACTGAAAGAAAAAAATCATAACGGGTTTCTAGTTTCCGATTCGAAGTCAATAACAAAGGAACACGATCAGCCTGATGTTGTAACAGTTAGGATCTTAGTTTAGTCTGTGCATACTACCGAGCCTTTCATCATTTTTACTGCGAGGAAGTTTGAAATGAGTGGCTTGAACTCCAGGGGTGTGTATTAATCCGGAAGATGATACAGATGCCTGCCCAGTAACTCTGTTTGCCATGATGTCTTCCCCAATTTCTTATCATCTCATCCTTTTCAAATTTGTGTAGCAAGTAACCCAGAGTATTTACACTTCGTAATCTGGAGATGTTTGTAAACCTCGTCAAGCATTTTTAGTTGATTGATTCTAATAGTACTTAGTTGAGTGATTACAGTAATATAATGTATTTATCTTTACATCGAGTGTTGACTTTCTAGCCTGTCCTTCATTTTCTCCACTGTCAAGGTTCTTTCTCACCATGGACTTGTCTAATCAATCGTATATATTTGGTTTGGTGAGTTATCATCCAACACTTCATAATTACATAATAAATACTTACTTATATTTTAAAATACTATGTATATTAAAGTAATACAAATTTCTTATTAATGACTAGAAATTTCTCCTAAATAAAAGTTAATAAACTTATAAAATTTAATTTTCAAAAAGTACGAAATTCAGTTTCTAATATTATAAATTTTAACATATAATGATTCTGAAAGTATTATTCTTTTCCCGCTTTTTTGACGTGGAAATTACAGCATGAACGTGCATTGTTATTCTTTCGTTAGCAAGAAGAGAAAAGCAGAGAGAATATGCTTGGCTTTCTGAATGGGTAAGGAACTTTACAAGTTATCAAATTATGCTCTGAATCAAGACTCTTTATGCTAATCTACTTGCTTAATTTCTTCTATCTTAATACCACGTTTGGCGGTTTGTACTTTGGGGATTTTTCTCTGAAACTCGAAGCTTCCGAATCCAGACACGCCTCGCCATTGCCGCCTTCAAAAGGAGCTCCGCTCTCTATAAAACCACCCCCACACTCCTCATCCCCTTCAACGTATCCATCTAATTTCTCTTTACTCATCGACAACATCACCGAAGTATTCCAACATGAGCAATTACAATCCTGCAATTGCTCCACCTCCTCCTCCTGCTCCTCTAGGTGTGTGTGTATATATATATATGTGTGTGTGTGTGTGTTTATATTGTGTATACATATGTATTAATCTCTTTCCTATTTGGATTCAAGTACTGGTTGTTGAGATTTTCGTTGCTGGTTTTTGCTGATTTTTGTATTTTTTTTTTTTTTTGAATGACGGCTTGTAGGTTACCCTAAGGAAGGTTATCCACCGTTAGGATACCCTGTGGAAGGTTATCCACCGGGCTATCCTCCAAAGCAGCCGTACCCAGCACCTCCACCTCCACCTCCACCTCCACCTGCATCTTATTATTCTAATCCTTCAAGGCAGGAGCCTAGCTTTCTCGAGGGATGGTACGTACTCCCGTCAACTTCTTTTTCTTTAAAAATTAAATTTATTTATACTCTCTTAATTTTACTCAAAATTATTTAATTTTTAATTTTTATTATTTTCTAAAAAACTTCCCTCATCTCTTACAACAACATACATTTTTAATGAATTTCAAAATCAATCAGCTCTTTTTTTTTTGTTTTTGTTTTTTTTTTTTTTTGGTGTTCAGCCTGGCGGCACTTTGCTGTTGTTGCCTATTGGATGCTTGCTTCTGATTGTACGATCAAGATTAGCTTCTGATCATAATCGACGGTTCATAGCTTATCATGAGTTACCACTCGTGGAAAATACCAACAAGATATATATGTCTGTTGAGAATCAACCTTAGCTTTAGTATGAAGCTAAAGACTTGTTTCTCCTTCTATATAATCATGGAGAAATAGGAAACGAATATCTCTATTTTTTATTTCATAAATTCATATACTATGTGTGTATGTATATAATTTGTTAAGTGGGTCCAGCCCACATTAAACATAAAAAGAAATATATTTATTTTTAAATTAGTTGTATGTGTTTGGGTAAAATTAAAACACTATAAAATAAAGGTTTGGGTTAATGAGACATACCATCAAAATAAATAAATAAATATATTTTTATTAACAAATTAATCAAGTTATATTATTATATTAAATGTAAAAAGTATTTTTTTTTTCAAACAAATATAATAAATAATATTTAAAATAGACTGAAAATGGAGATAAAATATTAAATTAAATATAGATAATTCCACAATCCACGTCATCTATTCCAATCCCTAGTCCACTTTGCGATTTCGATTTTCTAGCGTGCAGGATTTTCCACAACGTTCTCCCCGAGACTTGAAGCCGCCAACGAATCTAACAATAATATTCTTAAACAAGTTCAATCTAACGTTGTCCTAACCTAAACGACATCTCTTCATGCAATAAAACGGTCGCCAAATTGTGGCCTTAAAAAATTCATGCTTCAAAAAGGTACATTAATTTAAATTTAAGACAAACCATAGTGTCACGTTATAATGTTTTTTTAAATTAAAATACTTTAATATCATTAATCATTTTTAAAATAATAATATAAACGTTTTACATGTTAACGGCATATATATACACGAAATTTTTAAGCTTAGTACTTAAAAAGTAACATACCTGATTTGCAACAAAAAAAATTAGTAATTACTTGATGCATTGAATTACATAAAAGCTAATTTGGTGAATACTTTGAATGTTATAAACTAAAAATATCAGTCTAGTAAATAAATACAAAATTCTAATAATATATAAAAATTATTTTTTATTAAACCAATATTATGCCTGTAATTTTTGTTAATTTATCTTAATTTCAAGCATGCACTATTTATTTTCTTAGGTTTACCACCGGTGGCTTACGACTTTTAAGTTGCACGAAGAGACTAAATGTTTAGAATCTTCTTCTGTTTGCATAATTGAGCGTATGAGGTGACCCACCGTGAAAATCACTGGTGGCTCTGGTTTGGCGACAGGAAGAGCACCGTTAGATATTTTAGAGGAGACGACGACATCGTCATTACTCAACTTGCTTCTCTTTTAAACATCCATCCTCAATTTACACCTTAATATTAAATACACGGAGTTTCTTCTTTCGGCAATCCTTCAAAATTGTATTATATCATTAAATATATATATATATATATATAATTAGGCTTCAAATTCAAATTAGTTTTGTCACCTTACATTTCCTCATACACCGTTTAGTCAACAGCTAATTCTAGGTTCCCCTGTCCCACAAGAAAAAGGGGCTCTCCCGACCAGACCAGACCAGAATGGTCGTCTTCTCTGTATCTTTTATGATGATCTACATATGCGTAAAACATTCTTTCAAAAGAGACTTGTTTTGGTTTCTGGGTTCTCGTTAATCTGCGATTTACTCCCACTCAAGATCGAGTTGATGACTCATTCCTTTCGAAACTGCTCGTAAATATGACTCGTGATCTACGATGGCGTCTGGCCACTCTGCGAGAAACCAGACGATCAACGTGTAGTAATCCAGAAGCCGATCTGGCACGACTTCCCTACCTCACTAATCACTCTCGCTTTGTCTCTGTCCTCTTTACCCCAAACCCTCCTCCCACCATTAGCCGCACAACTACCTACCCATCTGTCCTATTATAAATTTCTCCATCCATCCGTCGATTTCCTCTTTTCTTGTTGAGAGAAACCCGTATGGCGTCTTGCAAGTCGTCAAGTTCAAGGCCGAGAATTCCAGTGCAAATCGGACGGTGTTGGTCGTGCGAGCAGAACAGCGGCGGGGCGGGGTTCTTCAAGTCGGGGTACTCGAAGGGTGTGGTGGGGTGTGGATCGGGAGTAAAAAGGGAGAGGAGATGGGCGATGGTGGCGAGAGGTCGCGGGTTAAATGTAAATGGGTTTGGAGTAAAGTGTGGGAGTGGAGGGGATGAAGACAAGAAATTTGTGGAGGTGTTGAGGGAGGCTCAGCCTTATATTCATTTGCACAGAGGGAGTACTTTCGTCGTCGCCTTGTCTAGTGAAGTCATCGCCGGTTGTCGGGGCTTGGACACCATTCTCAAGGTATTTCGATATTCATTTGCCTTTCTGCTATTTAACGTTCTCCTTGGAGTAAAGTACCAAAGTTAGTAAATATCGGTATATGCGTGTTTATTCTTTAGCAAAATGGGAAAGAATAACTCGGTCGAGTAGTATAAAATTATTATATCAAATACTTTATATTAATTCAAAATAATAGAATTACTATAATGTCTCCTATTTAATGTTGAAATTACTAAAATAATATTAATAATTTATTTAAATAATAAAAATATATGAAAAATTTTAATACCTAGCCAAAATTCTGAAGTGGACTAGGCCCAATAAAAGATCCGGCCCGAACAGGAAAACCAACTTCAAACAGAGAGACAAAATAGAAACAACCCTACACCATTTGTCTGGCGGCGGCGCGTGGTCAAAATAATCATGTCTGCTGCCGACTGCTCTGCTCTCTCCCTAATCCTTCATTATTTATTCTTTTTACCCCACTCGATTAATTTATTCTATGACAATAAAAGTTCCAGCACAAATTCGAGTAAGGAGCAATAACAATAGACACTATTTACTGTTTAGATTTCATTTCGATGGCCACTTCCTGTTCAAGCTACTCCATACCTCTTAAAAGCATTCAGAAAGGTGAGCTCTTCTCGTCTCGTGATAAACTGAGAAGCAGCGGCAGAGAAAAACCGCGACTGAAATTCCACTTCCGGCCGCGAAAACCGTTAGATGGGTGCAACGCAGGAATTCTGCAACGGTCTGTGGTTAAATGCAATGTGTTTAGCGACACAGAAAGCGGCGGCGGCTTGGACGATACTTATGGTGCGGTGGATGACAAGCAGTTTGTGCGATGGTTTCGTGAGGCGTGGCCGTACTTGTGGGCCCACAGAGGGGCAACCTTCATCGTTATTATCTCCGGCGAAATCATCTCTGGCCCTTTCTTGGATCCTCTTCTGAAGGAAAAATCTTCTCTTCAATCGTTTTTTCCTTAGCAGACGTTGTTTTCCTTCTCTGTGTGTATTGTGAGAAAATAAGAGAGTAGTTGTCTCTCTATGTGCATGTTAAATTATATATTTTCCTTTTTGAATAATATAAATTACATATTATAGTTTCTCAAAGATTAAACTTGGCTATGGATGCAGGACATTGCTTTTCTTCATCACTTGGGAATCAAGTTCGTTCTGGTTCCCGGGACGCACGTGCAAATTGACAAGCTTTTAGCTGAGAGAGGTGACTGAGAATACAACTAGCAGACCTATGAGTTTCTTGCTTCTTTGTGCATACCTGCAATTAATAATTGCAATTTCAT